GTGTACTCAGACCAGTAATATTTGGGGTCACAAGTTTTTGCCATGGATATTTTTTGGGTCAGAAGATAAAAAGTTTGGGAACCACTGGTCTACACCACGTGTCAAACTCAAGRTCCCCGTGTGGCCCGCCAGAACAGCATTGTACACTGAAGTATAAAGTAAATACTATCGTAAATAGTATTTTAATATATGAAGTGAAATAAATAAAGTGTAAAGTTTACTCCATCATAAAAGTACTGTATTATAGTATATTTAAAGTTTACACCATCACAAGAGTATTGTATAGTGAAGTAAAATATATATAAAATGAGAGCTTACTGTAAGTAATTTAAAAACTTGTTTCATGTGAGCTGAACTGGAGTCTGGACCGAGGGATCAGCCAACATGAGCTCACACTGCTAACTGGTTGTTGCATTATCAATATTTAAGAGTGTGACACAGAGCTCAGGCTGTTCAATACAAGCCTTCAGCAGGCGGGCCCTCACTCTAAATTATTCATACTATGAAGTGGAAAGACCTGAGAGAGGACAGAGGAAACAAATGATCCTGAACAAAACAAAACTCTTGAAGCAGCAAAAAAAGTCTAAAACAACAGCAGAGCGCAGTAAGAACAGTATCTTAGAGCAGAGATAAAAACTTGGGGGAGGGGGTGGGAGCACATTGCACTGCTGACCTATGCTTTGTTATCCCGTTCGGTTGAGCCCCGTCCCCGTCTCCATGGTGGTCCTCCTGCAGCATGCTGCTGGCGGGGCTGCAGAGCCTGACGGAGCGTTTGTCCTCCTCCTCGTCCTCTTCTAAGGAATGGCTGTCCACCGTCTCGAAGCCGCTCAGAGAGAGCTCAGAGGCTGATTCTGACAGAGACCAACACGTGGACATAATGAAGTGCATGTGCAGCATGGTTTCAAAGGCTGATTACATGAGAGCTGCTGAAGAGCACAAAAAAGAAACTGTTAATTAAATAAGGAAGATATTTTAAGCCTGACTGACAAGTCTGAGCCAAAAAAGCTCTTTGAAAAACTCTTTTTATATGAAAGGAAACTTTGTAATCAGTTTTATTATATTTGAGCCACTTTATTTTTATTTGATCTTTAAAACTTTTTTGATCCCTAAAAAAAGAGTTTTTTAATTTGTCTTTTGTCTTCTTCCCAACACAGCCTCTGACAGAAGAGACTGACAGCATCTTGGATCATCACAGCCAACATTTACATTCTTATTATTTCCAGTCCCCAATCAGGTCACGTGTTATCTGTCTGTTAGCAAAATTTATCTCTCAACATTGAAACTATTCCTATGAAACACTAGAGGTACGACTACAACTTTWGCYTTTAGAGTCAACCCTATTCAAGCTAACTGTGCTTAGAAAACACAGAACTGCTGGGACTACAGTCTGGTGTGGTTTTAGCTGACCTCATCCGCAACACATTCTTTAATTTTTGTTAATTTCTTTTGTAACATGCTGAAACAGACATCGCCTCACAGAACACTGCTTTTATTATAACAAGAAATGTGGAAATTGTTTAAATGCTGTTTGGAGGTTGTTTACAACCTAAAATGTCAAAGTCTCCTGTGAGGCTTCAACATTTGGTCGTCACCTAAACCCAATTCATACCTTGGTCCTAAAGCCAACCCCCAACCCATCCCAATGGCATTTTAACCAAACGGGAACTCGACTTTTGTCCCCAAATCCACCAGTTGTCCCCAAAGGTAGGCATTTTGTCTTAAAATTGATTTGATTTCATTTGATTTATTGATTTAACAGGAAAAGATTACTAAAAATCAAGCCTGACTCAGCATAACTGCTGTTTTACAGCAGGTTCCTGTTCTGCAGCACATAAAACACTCAGAAATACAGCAACACAATCACATCATTATACACCATAGACACAAAGACAAACAAGCATAACAAATTTCAAAAAGGCAGCATTTGTGAAATAGTACGTCTAAATATGAGCACAACAAAAAGTGTCCAGCAGATGGCAGACAAGATTCTTCTTAAAGGGCTGTA